AAAAAGAATGAATACAATTTCAACAAAAAATAAAACCTGTTTCTATAGGTAAGTCAGACCCGAGGGGATATGTTTCCAGATTGTAGACCAGTCAGAATTTCAACATCTTCTTGGCTGATTTTAAGTTTTGACTGGTAAGATAGCATTTTTTGAGAAAATGGTCTTTCATTAGGATTAAAAATTATTATAAATCTGTGTTAGTGTTGCAAAAAATCTTTAAAAAAATGTAGATATGACAGAAAATTTTATTTTTAATGAAGTCAAGTACATCAGAATTATCAATCTGTTTACAGGGAGCATTGGAACCTGACTTATTGAATGCTAAACTGATACAGAGAGCTATTGATATGAAGGCGCCCTTCATACAGTGCTATAAATACTTCCACTGGATTTCAATGGCACAACTTCAAGGTAAATTTTAATGCTTTTAAAACTTCATTTTAAATCCAGATTGAATTCCACTGGATTTCAATGAACGACTTGTAAATCTTTAGTAAAGTACATTTTTAAAGACAACATTTACGTTATGTCTTAATGTTAGCTTAAATGAGCTTATCATGTTTTTGAATACATGTAATAATTTTTGCCATTCATGTTTATGGTTTTGCATTGTTTCTTGGTGCAGGTATGAACACAAACGTGCGTTTATATATTTTATTAAGCTAGTCACAACTCATTCATACAGAGCTAATACATAACCCTAATAACATAGAGCAGACTACGTATATTTACTAAGCATGCGCAGTTAACATTATAACTTAAGCATCAATGGGAAGGCTGTACTTTAGTATGTAAATCAAATTACTGTTACATCTTTTCTCTTTTACAAAAAAGAAGATATTTCCAATCTTATTCAGTTCAGAATACTAAATCATTAAAAAATGATAACTAAGAAATACTTAAAAAAATAACAAATCATGACCTCAAAATCACAACTGTCGGAAAAATAAGCTGTTACTGTTAATAAAGTACATTTATACACAGTCTCACAATTGCTACAGTTTGTATATTATGTAACAATAGTCCTTGTATTTCACTGGCATACGAATAACTCGACTGATCTGGTTTTAATTTCGGATTGTCCACCAGTTGAATTTTAACCGGGAAGGTTCAACAGGAGGTAACTTCATTACTACTACATTTCTTAGGTAAATCGAACAGTTTCTCCTTTCCTTTTCCTGAAAATGTTTCGTTAAGTTTTGCGAAAGCTGACGTCGATTTCGCATTTATCACCTTCCATCCTCCTTTTCTTAATATCATAAGAACGTGTTTTGCTTTCTTACAACAATGCCCTTTTCCCCCAGTTTTGTTCGTTCCTGGGCTGTAATTCTCACAGTTTCCCCTTCTAAACGAAACCTAACACCCGCATTTCTTCGTTTAAAACGCTTTTGGGCCTTTGCCTTACTTTGTCAAGATTTCTTTAATATTAATGGATACCGTTTAAAAAATTCAAAAGAATCTTTCCGGAAGCAATGTTCTAGTTTTCCCTGTTCATTAAGTTCTGAGCTGGACTTAAATTTGTTGATTGCTGGGGTGTGGTTCCGGAAGTTCAATATCGCTAAGCATTGGATCCGTTAGAGAATGCTTAGCCTTTTTCAATGATCGTTTTGCCGTTTTACTGGTTTTCGGCCTTTCCGTGGAACTGCGGATATCTAGCTGAAATGAAAATAATATGAATTAAAGTCCCATTTTCTTTCAAAACGATTTGATTTCTCAGCTTAAATACGCCTTGCCTTGATCGGAGACAAGAAATTCTGTGAAATTCCATGTCTAGCAAAATGTTGTTTCAGTTTGCCGAATTTGAATTTCTTTCGAGTTCGATTCGTATAGCCTGTCAATTTCAAAAGAAATTAACTAAAATAGTCAACATGACCCAAATAATCTTTTCCGTAAACATAAAGACATCAGTTCCAAACTTTAACCCCATGGCCTATGTCCGTATACCCTGTCCCTCATTGATTGATCAATGTTCTTGGTTTTGTTTTCTTTCTAAAGATTGGCAAGTGTGTTTACACTAATTTAGGTCGATGTAAATTTTTCGTTTATTTCGATGTCATATTTGGCAGTACACACATGATCTTCTCTTTTCAAACATCCTTCAACTCCAATAGGAATGAATTTTGACCTAGAATTTCTGACCGCATACTTTTTAGGTATGACACATCTATTCTCCGCGAAAAATGATACCATTATCCTCTGATAATTTCATCTCTCACTGCAAATATGGAGAAACCTCGTTAGGATGGACACCGTCCCAACCATTTTTTATGCATCCGATTAATTTCTGAAGAGTCGAATCTTCAGCAGTGCCTGTTTAATCGTGCTTGTCTTTGAGATGAACACCGCTAGATAATCTGACATATTAGTGGATTCGATTTCTTTCTCGTAATCTGAAAGTAATACTTCTTCTAGTGATGTAGCTTTATCTTTGGTCAGATATGCTCTTGATAGTGTATCCGCAATATACATATGTTTGCCTTTCTTATAACGAATCTCATAGTCATATTTCCTAATTTTAGAAACATTCTTTGTAATCGTTTTGGTGCCTTGTACAAACTTTTCTTGCTAATAATCTTCCAATGCTTTATGGTCATTTTCAACAATAACTTTTCTTCCATATGTAAATTGATGAAATTTGGTCATTCCTTACAGGATACTTAATAGTTCCTTTTCAATCGTTGCATAATTCCTTCTGCCATTTGTTAAACTAAGGCTTGCATATGCTACAGGCTGACCTTTCTGTAGGAGTACACAACCAAGACGCTTCTGAGGAATCCGTTTGAAGAGTAACTTCAGACTCTGGGGTCAAAATATCGTAGTACAGGAGCATCGCACACTGCCTGTTTTTAGCGTGTCAAAAACGCTTCATCATGGACTTCTGTCCACTTAAAATACTGCATCTTTATGCGTCAATTGTCTTAACGGCTCACATAGTTCACTAGCTTATCCAGAACTTCGTTAAGTAGTTAACGAGGCCTAAAAAACGTTGTACAGCTTTCTTGTCTGTGGGTCTTGGCATGTTCATAATTGCATCTACTTTAGACGGTCAGGTTTTCACCCCTGTGTCTGTCAGCAAATGTCCTACAAAACGACATTTCGGTTTTTGGCAATTGAAATTTTTCTTTATTTAGCTTAATATTTCTCTCTTGGCATCTTTCTAGTAGTTTTACTACGTTGTTGTCATGATCGCGCATGCTTCTTCGTAAGTTTTACCCTTTTCCATAAATGATTATGTCGTCTGCGATAGCTTTTATACCAGGTAACCCTTCCAAATTTCCTTTCCAGGTATTGTTGAAAGTACTCTGGTTCTGGTGAAAATACCAAATGGCATAACAAGCCAACGATATCGTCCAAATGCGTTTCAAATGTTTGTCAAAATAGCTTGACTGTTCATATCGTAGCTCAAACATGATGAAAAGCATTTATTAACATCGCATTTTGAAAATACCTTTTTGCAGAATTCAGTTCAGACAATACATCTTCAACCACTGGTAGCAGAAAATGTCTTCTTTTCAAAGCAGTGTTTCAAAATTTTTGGATCTATACATATTCTAAGCGCATTTGATCTTTTCTTCACAATTACTAAACTTGATATCCAGTCTGTTGAGTGTTAACTTTTGCTATTTTGCCCTTGTTCTCAAGTTTTATTAGTTCTTTTTTAAGTTTTTCTTTCATGCAATCGGAAACCCTTCTGAGTGGCATTTTCACAGGTTTCACTGTATCATCAAATTCCAAGTGTAGTTTTCCCCGAAATCGTCCTTCGCCCTCAAATACCGACGAATATTTTGTTTCAATTTCTTCCATAGTTAATTTAGAGTTCTTATCAACACTGACGGGACAAATGTTATGATATTGTATCTTAATTAAATCCATTTTCTGAATTGCCTCAGATCCTAATAACGGAACAGCCGTATCATTTTCAATTACGATAAACCGCACCTCGTATCGTTTTCTTGTCTGGGATTTTTCAAAACTAATTTGCACGTAACCACGAAAGCTTTCATTTTTGATTTATCATACATTGATAACGTAATGTTAGTTTTCTCCATTATCTCGTCTGGCACGTACAACCTAGGTAAATATTTGCCGTAGCTCCGCTGTCTAATTGAAATTCTCACAGTTTTGTTTTGATTAGTTAATAACATGTTTGCGAAAATTTTCGTCTGCACCTTTTGATTTTGATTCAACATCAAAAACGTCCTCTTCACTTCCTGACGATGAGCTCAAATTTAAATGTCTCACGTGGGTTTTTCTGACTTCACTTTGTGATGTTTACGCGATTTGCATTCCGAAGCAAAAATGATTAAATTTTGCCACAAGACCTGCATTTTTGTCCAAAAGCCGGGACACTTTCCTTTAGCACAATTTTTTCCACAATATTTGCACTTTTTCTTACTACATTTGATCATTTTTGGCAAGCAGTTGTTTGCGTTTTGGCTTTACGACTTGCACTTCTTCGTCTGGAGATGCATGTTTAGACAACGACTTTACTTTTGAGGATGATGCTTCTGCTGCTCTGCACATATCTATGCATTTATCTAGGGTCAATTTATCAACCATCCTGTAGTAATCGTTTCGTAACCCATTATCTCGAATTCCCAGTACTAGCCTATCGGTTATTAATTCATTCTCTAAGTCACCATAGCTGCATGTTCTTGCAAATTTCCGTACTTTACTGAGAAAGTATCGAATGTTTCTGTCTCACCTGCACGCACGTGTGAAAGACTTAACGTTCGAAATGTCACGCTGGTTTTGCCAACACAGAACGTTTCGAATTTATCGATGACAATGTCGATATCATCCTTGTCTGTTTCATTTGCAAAGTCAAACCCGTCGAATATATCCATTGCTTCAGACCCTATGCATGTTAAAAATGTTGCTGCTCTTAGATCCTTTGGTTCAAATTAAGTCCAGACGCCTTCTCATAATTAATCCAGCCACGTCTGAATTTTTTCCAGTTTGTTGATACATTTCCGTCTAAATTCCAATTTCTGCGGGAAATGGAATCAACGACGGCACAAGCATTCGATGGGTGTGCAGCGGGTGATGGCGGTTCGGCCTGTTCATCGGCACTCATAATTGTGCTGATATGTCCAAATATTAAACTTTTTGCACGTAAATTAAAAGATTAATAAATCCACCACTACACGAATTATGCTTTAAGAAAATGGTCGCATTTATAGTCCTTTTTGCGTATATGAGCAGTCTTATACTTCTGACACCATGTTTCTTGGTGCAGGTATGAACACAAACGTGCGTTTATATATTTTATTAAGCTAGTCACAACTCATTCATACAGAGCTAATACATACACCTAATACATAGAGCAGACTACGTATATTTACTAAGCATGCGCAGTTAACATTATAACTAAAGCATCATGGGAAGGTCTGTACTTAGTATGTAAATCAAATACTGTTACAGCATGCAACTTCGTATGTGTAATTTATTGAACATTATTTAAAGTATTCTATTGACACCTGACACATTTCTTTTAGATCATAATCAAAGACCAATTGCTCTAGCATATAGAGTTTTACATAATTATTCCCATTTACAAACAGTGATAATTCCAGCATGGCTCTTGTTTTACTATCAGGGCTGAGAAAATAGTTCAAAGAACATGTTCTGTCTGTCTGTAAAGTCAGATAATTTTGCAAATACTTAATTTTGCAAAATCAACATTTTGGACTAAATGGCCAGTTTATGTAATTAAAAATTATTATTTTAGTTCTGTTAACCTTATATGCTACTGATAATGTGTTAATGGTATGTGTTAATGTCTTTCCTGAAAAATCTTCAGTTTGCTAAATTAGTGAAATTAAACCATTCACAAATATTTCAGATTTTACGGTATCTGACAATATGTTGTTTATATTATAGAGAAACTACCAGCTGATACTAAGGAAGTTGCTGATTTTGACATCCAGTTACAGCAGAGTATAGTAGCCCTACAAGAGTTAAACAACGATCTGGTTGTTGATACAGCTATATTGTATAGTATGGCAGATGTACCTGGTCCAGACGAGACCGACAAACTGCCTCCTAAACTAATCTATGAAGATATTATAAAATGGGGCTATACTTGGTATGTATATTAAATGATGTAATTTCATAAAATTTGAAGAAAAAGAAATCATCAACATCATTGGTTCAGACTTATTTGTCACTTACAATATTGTTTACAATAAATGTGATTGGAAATATGCACTTTGTCCTACAAAGGTGCTAAATGTAACCTCTAAATATGCAGTGTTATAATGGTGCTGTTAAAAAAATGATGTCTATTGCTGGTCTGCTCCATTACAAAAACTCATAGATAATGCTTCATTATAGCAGTATTTCATGTTTTATAGTTACATTTGTTATGTGTGGATTTGTGTGACATAAAGTTCTATGCTGTTAAAGATTAGGAGAGGCATTTTTTAGAAGGGGAACTAAGTTAAGGATTGATACAATACAATGAGTGTCACTTAAATATATAAATGTATATCTTGTGACAGCTGGTTTTCTGAAGATATGAACAACGTCAGTGCAGTCGATATGACAGCTGCGATCAAAAACTGTAAAGTTCTGATTGCTCTAGTGTCGGACGAGTTTGAACGAGATGCTAAATGTCGTGATCTATTTCTGTACGCTAAAGATACCATGAACAAAGATGTCATCACTATTGTACTCGGTGAAAGTATGGAATGGGAAAACAAAGATCTTGGCATGAAAATTGGCAAACAAGAGGTATGGAGTTGTTTAGTTTCGTTTCAACATTTAAGCTTGAATTAAGTTCTTAAAACTGATATCTACAAAGATCTTTAACCAGTAGTTGTTTCAGGTGATGAAATAGGACATCATCAATACAGGTCCAAACCCATGGACTCTCAGTGCTATGGCAAAGTTCAGATGATTCATGAACGTGTATCGCAAGCAATTTAAAAGTTTTCATCAGAAACACTAGCCTATATCTTAAGCACTTATAAATACATTGTATATGTAAATATTTGTTACTTTGATTCTGTTGATTCTTCTCTAAGTATCAGAATGTTGTTTGTGTAAGTGTTTTGTGGAACCAAAACTGACTTGTTTGGTGATACATATTTTTATGTTCCCTCCGTTTAGGTGGAGTGCAGGGAGGGGTCATATAAAATTTACCCTTGTTGGGCCATCATGTGTCCTGCTGTCAAGCTGTCCATACATATGGACTACTTTTATCAGCTTCAGTTAATGCATTTCTACAAATGATGGATATTATTTTTTGTATTGTACATTTGTGTCAAGGTCCAGTGGCCCAGATCACAAAATAAATGAGTTGAGTTGATTTGACTCCTTTTTTTTCAGGTTCAATTTATAAATTAAGTGTTGTAATGGACTACTTTTTTAGCCTCATTTAATGTAAGACTACAAGTGTTGTCTATGAACTACTTTCACAGCTTTATATAATACATGTACATGTATATTACTACATTTTTTCAGCGTAAGTTAATGGCAAAGACCAAAGCAAGGTACGAGGTTGAGGGTGGAAGGAGAGCGGAATTCAAAGAATGGCTGACAGAAAAAATATTACTGCTTTCACAGGTAAATGTTTTTACAAATATATATTATAAATATACCATAAACAATGTGGTCAGCATTATTTGTTGTCTTTTTCTTAAATAGCTCACCTGTCACAAATTGACATGGTGAGTTTTCATGATCTCAATTTGTCTGTAAACTTTTACTTTAAACAACATCTCCTCACAAATCGATAAGCCAATTTCATTCAAACATTTTCAGGAATGTTTCTTGGGTGGTCACCTTTGAAAATTGTGCAAATAATTGAATTCCATGCAGAACTCTGGTTGCCATGGTAATGGAAAGAAGAAAAAAAACAACAAACAAGCAAACAGAGCAATTAATCTGAAATTTTGCCTACAAGTGATTGTTTTAGTTCTACATTGAAAAAAGTCTAAAAAAATATTTTTCAAATCCTGTCATCTCAAAAAACCTCATTTGAGTCTATTCAAACATTAAAGAAATTCATTCAGTTGTTTGTATACATCTAGGAGGACGCATTATTACCGGATGTATTTGTAAGTTATTGTTGGAGTAACTCAAAGAATGCTGCTGAGAAATCTGGACGTATAAATCCGGACTCACTAGGTTGGGGTGATCCACGTCAGTTGAAAGCTGTATTACAAAAACAAGGCATAAACTGCTGGATTGATGTAGAAAATGTTGGGAAAGATAAGGTATTTTCATTTTTTCAGCCCTTACCGTCCTTAATTATTTGTACATGTATAAGTTGTCTTGTCCTACTGTAATTATACATGTAGATGTTTTCTGCTTTAATTAATTGTCTTGTTCTATTGAATTTGTGTAAAATACTTGTTCTGCTGAATGTGTATAAAAGATAATAGACCAAAATTATATAAAAAATAGTTTTAAGTGATATTCTATAGACCAAAATTATAAAAGAATAAGTTTTAGTGATATTTCATAGACAAAAATTATAAAAAAAATTTAGAAATGTAGTGCTTTTTTTATAGACCAAAATCCAGTTTTTAGTGATATTTTACACACCAAAATGATATTTATAATTTCAGAAAGGAATATTTGCAGACATGGCTGCTGGTATTAGAAACAGTAAAATGATGTTAGCATTCATCTCTGATGAGGTACATAGTTTCTTTGTTTATTTCACCTTTAAAGCAGCATGCCTCCAGATTGAAATTAATTTTCATGAAAATTTTGGAAATATATTCAAAAGTAAAATATTGTGAGGTGAACAAATAAAGTAATTTACATATTGCAATCAGCACTTAAAATCTAAGAAAATTACCAAAAAGTGGTCAACATATGCAAAAACAGCCCTTAATGTGTTAGTAATGCAGTAGAAATATGGTAATAAAATACTTCAAAATAAGTCTTAAACTGCACATAACATGTAGAATATAACTTGGATCTTGAATGTTTTTACCTTTCTTAAAATTTTAGTATATTTTTCTCAGTAATGATTTTCTTGAAATATTTTGTCTCATCTGGAGGCATGCAGCTTTAATCTACTAAACTTCTGTAATAGATTTGTCAGACTTGCATTATAGAACTGTCCATTATCTTTCTGAGCATATGTAGGTAATAATTTCACGATTGTCAACTACTAACAGTAAAGAGCCTGCCTATTGTTAAATCATTTTAATTCATGGGCATGAGGTTTTCATGGTTTTGTAAAAAATGATGTTTTTGTGTATTCTTAAATTTGTGGTTTGTCTGTTTGTGCCAAAGAGTAAAAACTAATTAACCTAATACAAATAATTGTACAGCAGATGAAATAAGATTTTGTATGATCTTGAATTAGTGAATTGACTTTTACTAAAAAAAAACAACAACACGAAAATCAAAGATGAATTATTCAAGTTAACCTGACTCTGTACGGAAAGTAAAAACTCATCACTTTCAGTTCCAGCAGGTTAATAAATAGACTAATTATTTTTTGCTTTCCACTGCAGTAATTTAGATTGTTCAAATTTCTTCTATTATTGATCATACCTTTACTTTATTTGTTCATTTTAGCCAAATTATCATGTCCAGCGATGATACATTGTGTAGACCTTTTTTGGGGTATTAATTTGCAGTTAAAAGCAGATTACATTTGTATATGAAACAACTTCAATATGAGCCTTTTACCCTTTTTCAGACCTTATCATTTAACTTTCATTTTAATCTTGTTGTTTTTCAGTACGCAGAATCGGTCAACTGTATGATGGAATTACGGTTTGGAATTATAAATATTGAGCTGCCACTGGTTGCTGTAGCAGTAGGAACAAAATCTGGCTGGAAACAAACTGAGGTATGTCCATGACTTTACCATGATTATTGTGTGTTCCTGTGGCAGTATTTTAAAAGGCAGAAGTATAAAAACAAAATAAAGTCACTGTCTGTCATGTTTTTATACTTTTACATGTTTGTGACACATTCTTTGGTGTTTTCATTAGGTAGGCCAAATTATAAAGTTACCATGGTACTGAAATTTTCTAATGAATCAAAAAACCTTGCAAGAAAAGAAATTGTTTTCCATTATTTAATAGATTGATTATTTGAGACATTTGTATAATTTTTTTTAGCTCAACTATTCAGAAAATAAGGTGGACTTTTGTACTCACCCTGGTGTTGCCATCACATTTTGAGTCTTTGTGTGCAGGTTGGTAACTCCAAAACTACTGAATGGAATGAAACTTTACAGAAACTTTACACATATGTGAGAGCATAGTAGGAGGTCACTGTCCAATGCATATAACTCTTACATGAATTATGACAGAATTATGGCCCTTTTTGAACTTAGAAAACTCTACATTATCCACGTTCTGTTATGCACTGAGAATAGTCAAGCACACTGTCCTTCTGTCAGCTCTTGTAATGTTTTCTCATACAAATATTTATGTTTCTACAAATTTTTCAGGTTGCTATGTTACTGCGTAGAGCTCATGCTAACGAGGTCTCGTTACAAAATGAAAATCCTGAGGGAATTAATGTCATGGTCAAATATGTCCAAGGTAAAATATCTAGTTGTTTCACCATTTAGAAAAGTAATAAATGGCAATGTAACAATGCTAGTTCCACAATATGTTACTATGTCTGAGTTAATAACGTGAAACAGTTCTTTGGTCATATGGTAACCATTTTGTCTTTGTAACCAACGCTTCTATGAAGGATAGTCTGCCATGTTCTACTGTATTTTTGTCATGCAGCATTACAGTTGAACCCCACTAATGAGACCACTAGTGGTTCTAAGGAGAAATGGTCTTAATAGTGGGCTGGTCTTAATTTCAGATTGTCTCAAAAAATACTGTTGGCGTCAGTTAGCTATATAGATTTTGTATTTCCAAAAAGATTAATTTAATAATGGCCATTGACCAGTAATTGACAATAACAAATGTTAAGGATAAAATATGAAAACTGCCTAACAATATAAAAAGACTCCCCTACTCTTTTTATCAAGTGAATGTTACTGAAGCATTCAGAAGAATATTTACAGAATTGACAATCAGCCGCATCACCTTGCATGGGTTGTTGATTATACATGTGAAATAGAAACAATAAATGCAAAATGCAAAGTTACCTGTACACTCACCATTTACACTGGGGCTGACATCATATATAACTGTCAGTTTAAAAAATGTTGAAACATGACTAAAGAGATTTCTATTTTGCTTGTTATAGACATGTTACAGAAGGAGAAATTGTCAGGTAGTAAAAAGAAGAATAAAAAGAAGACACAGGAAGCTGTTGATCTACTCAAGAAAGGGATGGAGTCAAAGAAAGAAACCAAAACTTCCTCTGTGGCCTATCAGGTCAGTTATTTGCAATTTTATAACTTGACTATTCGGAGAATAGGGAGAGCTATTGTACTCACCCCAGCGTAGGCATTGGTTAAGTTTTTGCATGTAAGTTGGTTATCTCCAAAACTACTGAAGGGAATGGGTTGAAACTTCATACACTTGTTCTCTGTGGTTATTTTACATGATGTACACAGGTGTCATAACTCTGAGTTACCTTTTTACTGAACTATGCCCCTTTTCTTACTGTCAGTACTGAAAATAGTTGAGTTTGCTGTATTATGAACAGCTACTTGTCCCTTTATTTCTGTGTGTTACCTTGATATTCGTGGTGATTTTTTTCATTTAAAGAAGCTACATGTATCTATAAAAAGAAACAGTGGCTGTACCTTTGTGCAAATATCTGCCTGAAATAATCTGGTCTTCTGAAATCATTATGACAATAATGTGTGTTTGAATTAAAACCTATCAGAAAGAAAGAGAATTATATCTGCTACAAATAGAGGGAGACATATTCTATTTTTCAGCTATGTCTGTCCTTCAATTTTCACACTTAAATTAGATTTATATTATTACAGGAAGAGGTTGAGCTTATTCAGAGGAAGTTTATGAGGCATATACTGGGTTCTATAATTGCCGTGGATACAATGCCATTACCTAGACTGATTGTAGTAGACTTTGTAAAATCTGGTAAGTTCACAATTAACATAGTAAACTTGTATTACTCTTCATACAGCTGTTAATCCACACAAAAGCAGGCCTATGCTACGTACCAGTATAGAGCCAGTTGAGTCTGCACATCTGTGCAGTGTGACCAGTCTCTGTAACATACAAATATATAAATATACCAATCATACCAGTAATACACTCTATAAATATACAATATTCCGGTAGTACACTCTACCTATATAATATTCCGGTAGTACACTCTACCTATATAATATTCCGGTAGTACACTCTACCTATACAATATTCTGGTTGTACACTCTACCAATACAATATTCCAGTAGTACACTCTACCTATACACTATACTGGTAGTACACTCTACCAATACAATATACCGGTAGTACTTTCTACTATACAATATATTAGTAGTACACTCTACAAATACACTATACTGGTAGTACACTCTACCTGTACAATATACCAATAGTACACACTACCGATATGATATAGCAGTATTACACTAACCTATATATATTTTTATTGCTTTTTGTAAGTTTATATTTATATATTATATGTTACTTCTTGGTAAACAAAAATTTTATCCAAAATGTTTTTCTCTAGGTAAACAACAAAACAGAAGCAAGTAGCTGTTCAAAGTTTAACTTTTCTGTTGCATTATTAGTCTCTAAACATGGTCTCCATTTAAAATACACAATCTGAAGGTTCCTAATTACAAATAGTATGAAATACTATTTTTACCAACTTTTATCCGCTTAAGGAATATACAAATATCCTGCCAACTTGTGGAAGGTCTGTGCTCTTGCATAGTACTTGTCTAGATACCTTGTTTTATCTACATGAATAGTCAGTCATTCCTATCATTTGACATTGCTCAGGGATATTTTCAATTTCTTTAGCAAATCTCAATTGTTTTACATCTAAACTATTTAACTACTGTAAGTGCAGTTATTTGCATGAAGCCAAAATTTTGCACAAGGAACAATTAGGAAATGGTTTGTGAGGTTAATTGTTCAGTTATGTTAAATGTGTATTGTGTTATGATCGCAAAACTTTTATTTTCATAAAGAAAAATATCTTCAGTTTGTGAAATTTGCAAAATTTTATTCCTTGCATATAAGCTTTTTCTTTCATCATTGGAAATGTACATCATGACTTAAATATAGTAAGTGTACTGAAACTTACAAAATAAACCCAACAAAAATGAACAGAATTTCTAAATGGAGACCATTACAGTACTGTGTGTTTTTCTTTATTTTAACAAGCATGTTCCTGGATTATTTCCATTAAAATGATAATTAATAAATTGATAATTTAAAGCTACTCAGAAAGCATATTGGTGTAGGGGATATTGGTTTTAACTCTGTTTCTTTTCTCTTCCTCTTCACCTTTGCTGGTAAAGATTTAAAAAACAATTTACAGGGCACTTGCTTGTCTGATAATTTTTAGTTATCTAAATTTATTTCAATTTATAGTGCACTAACATACTTGACAATTTTATGTTGATAAAAAATCAATAGACATTATCCGGAACTTGGCAAATGTGGGTTTTTCCCAGCTAATCTGTAGGTACAAACTAAGTTTTACTGTTATAGCTTCACGGTGCACTACTCATTACAATAGAAAAGTCAACCTTGTTTTGCTAATTTTTTGAAGCTGTAACTGTAAAAAGTTAATTTGTACATGAACCTACAGATTAGCTGGGAAAACCCCAAATATTCTTATTTCCAGAGTAAGTCTATTAACTAGGATTCTATAATTTGTTTTTACAGTTGTGTGTAAAAATTGTAAAAGGACATATCGCAGGATACTAGTAGTTTCAAAATAAGTAAATCCAATTCTAGCTTTTAGGCTCATGTTGTTTTTTTGTAAACATTGCACATGTTTACATTTTAGTCCACCAGTTCATTTAAGAATTTTATGTTTTTAGGCTCTTTGGACGTTGATCTGTGAAGCTCCTTTAATATAGTCATATTATCTAATTAAACCTATCTTTAATAGACTTCAATAACCATGTTACTAGCAGTATGGCTAAATGCTTAACTAGAGATCTATGCAGGAACTAATTCAAGAGTGTTTAAATAAGATAATAGCTTCCTACACAATAAAACTAAACTTAATTCTGTTTATTAAACTAATAACCTTGTTATATATTTTTGTACAGTTTACATTTGTTATTATGAAACCCAATGATAATGTTATATGTAAGAAAGAAGTTAAACAAATCTACGGAGTGAATCTCATATATACTGGTATATGAAAATGTTGCTGTTTTTATTGTTGTTTTTTTTTCCAATCACTGATAGACATAAAAAAATATATAAAAAAATGATATACATGCACAATGTATTTACAAGGTATATAGAAGGTATTATCAAAGGTACTCGGCCACTTATTTTACAACATTTTACTTTTTCCTAGCCCCTGATATTAGTTTTTGCATCACTGACAATATTATAATTTAAAAGTTTATTCATTCAATGGTGTCATAATGAAACATGTCATGTACATGCATCTTATAATAAATAAGAACATTCTTTGAGTCATGACCAGATGGGAAGACATAGAAAGTAAATATAATATCCATATGTTCAAAATGGACATTACAGGGAAAACAGAAAAATGACGAAGGTAGGGACAGCAAAATCGGT